ATATTCTCACATTTCAACCTAAAATACAGAAAATAAAACATCACCTATAAATTGTTTGTGCTGAATAGAGTGAGGAATGTTCAGAACCTACTATTGCTCCAGCCTTTATTGCTATTACTTTTCCCTATTGGAGGACAGTGATAGGAAATTTCTCCAATGGGGATACAAAAATAAAACATTTTAGTAGAGTGAGTAAGGATTAGAACTTCTAACACAGTTTTTAGTGCTGGGCATGCTTTCCTTACTACCTCACCCCTCATTTCCTGCATGGGTGTTACTGGCACAGTGACATTTTAACTTTTCTCCCATTCTACCTAAAAGTAAAAAAAGCAGCTGTATTAAAGTCCAATTGAACTTTAAGTTTAAATTAGCAAAATACATTTCGGATGTATCAAAACAAAAGGTGTCGTGTCTAAAAATTATTTATCTTTAAATCAGCCACAGCCTGGGTAGAAAAGTTTGTGTCTTGCTTCTTTTCTGCAGAGTGAGTCTCTTGCTGCCTGTTGGGAAGCAGAGGTCTCTTTGCAGAGTTCTGACACCCTCTGCTGGGTCAGAGCTAAAGCTCTACAATCAGCAGGAAGCATGAACTTTACTAATTGTAGAGCTATAAGTCTTACTTTGTAGGGGGCTTTAGACCTCTGCATTAAAACCACCTTTTCCCCACTGGGAGCAAGTGTCACACTTTGTAGCTGCTGGCAGGGAACAGGCTTTTCTACCTAAACTGCAAGACATTAAACACCTGTTGCTTTGATGCACCTGGAATATATTTCGCTGATATAAGCTAAACGTTCAATTGGGCTTTCAACATGTGATAGTTACAAAAACAGTACCTGTAATCTGGCAGCCATAAAGCTCCACTCTCAAAGCTATTCCCGTGTGCCATGTCTGAGGACGGAAACGCACAAATCGGGTTAGCACTGGTTGAGGAATCTTGTTTAAAACCACTTCTGTTGGGTCATTGTTTCCAGGAAAAATCTACAAAGTATAAAAGAAATAGGATTACAGACAAGGCTGAGGATATGGTATACATACAGTACATTTAGTACATCTATATAATTATATTTTGGAATTAAGTGAGTTAAACAAACGAACAAGTTAACAAAGAAAAATGCGAGCATAAACGTGGTCTACCCACACACATCATTAGGGTGATGTTCTCTATACATTCAAACATGCAATCTCTTTGATGGTGCTCAGTAAATAGGGCTAATTATCCTGATATGGTTAATGATTTAGTCCATTCAGTACCACAACTAAAATGTTTCATGTAAACAATCTCAGCAAACTTCCATGAAAGCAGAGTTTACTTTTTCCATGAGTGTAAAGTGATCAAGGAAAGATATGCACTCCCCATACAAATGAGATGCAAAATTAGAGTCGAGTGACTTGATGGGAAAGGCAGAGGACAGAGTATGGGATTCCTGGCATTAATTAGAGTTAATAAGTTGAAAAGACTTCCTTTGGAGATGCCGTGAAAATACCATAGCTTTGTGTTAGTGGGAAAACATCCTGTTCACTGCTATAACATTGCAGTTTCAGCTAAATGCCTTCTAGTGCATATGGTAACTGTTCATCTAGACTCAAAACAACATCCTAATATATATGACAATAATGTAGAATTGAACTAAACTTTATTTTTTACAAGTTATAAGTTAAAAAAGTGTATGTGCTGCACAGTTGTTCCCCTTTCTGGATTTCCAAACTATTTTGTTTACTAGAAAGATCCTGTACTTGGCTATCCCAGCTATGCAAATGTGGAAGATGAACAAAATAGACAAATGCACAGGCCCCCAAAAAACACAGGTGCCCCCAAAATAAACATACCAAACAGTGGATTCCTGTGTTGGGACATGGATGTCTTTCACAGCAGAAATGGTTGGTACAGGAGAGACAAGTATGCCAAGGTGTTAAGTTTAAAAAAGAAAGGGTTAGTATTTGGTTTATGGTTACAAGGAGTTCTAAGGTTACAGAGACGATTAATGTGAGGGATGTAAAGTTGTTAATGTTTGGGTTAGGATTTCAAGTAGGGATAGTATACGGACAAGGGTTACTGTTAGGATAACAAGGAGGGTAATTTTAGGGTTACAGGTAGGGTTAGGGTTTGGGTTAGGGTTACAGAAATTGTTAGTGTTGGGATTATGATTACAGGAAGGGATAATGTTAGGTGTACAGGAGGGATTAGTGTTTGGATTATGGATACACGGACGGTTAATGTTAGGGTTATAGTGAGGGTAAGTGTTTACAGGGAAGATTCATGTGATGGAGCCTTAGTGAAGGGCAAAGCTCACTCTATAGGGAGCTCAGTACTGTAAACTACCAGCTTCCTGGTCCAGATCTCCTGGCACTGAAAGTTAATCTATCAAACTTTTTATAATGTTGCAACTTTCTTCTGCTGGACTAAATTGGATAGTGGGCATCTGGAAAGATATCAAGTTAATAAATGTACTAAATGGCCTCTCATATTTGCTGCCCTTATATGGCAAATATAATGTTGTCCACCCACAAGGTCACTGGCTAATATGTAGTAAAATAACTAAATTTTACCAACAATCAGTATGCTGCAAATGCCTATTATATTAGTTTTTACTATAGGATGTACTTGTATATAAGATAGTCCATATTTGGGGACCCAACTACAGATATGCATATTCAGTTAGGACTCTGCCTTGAAAACCTAGTAAACTTGATTATATATATATATATATACACACACACACATATATATATTAGTATATATCACATTTCAACATGCACATCTTTTTGTTATGCCTTGCCGGATCTCTCTATTCAGCTGTGCTGTTTTTCGCTTTTGGCCAAACTAGCTGATGAGCTGGCTGTTTTTTCATATACTTCCCTTTTCTTTCAAATCTTAAAATGTGTATAACAACGAGCAAGTGCATTAGTCACACATCAATCACACTGTGTCATGTTGTTAAAACTGAAGCTGAAGACACCCTATTCTGTCTGCACTAGACTCATCTAATGTTACTACATCATAGCAGGTAAATGTATAACTAATCCAGAGCTAGATATCGCACCTATAAAAATGAAATGTGAAGCCCAGTCTTTGTAAACATAGAAATGAAGGCAGAGAAGCAAATAAGATTAAAGAACAGCACATTAAAGACTTAATTACACTTGTACTATTCAAATGTTGTGCCTACAAATTGCCTTCCCTTCTTACCTCTTACATTTTTCATTGTGAAAAGCCTTTAAGCGATTTCTTCCAGGTTCCTAATTCTGCAGCATACATCATTTCCTAATGCAGCCGGCAGTCATTTTCCAGGTGAAAATCACCAGGTGCTATTCACCAATGAGCTAATGTTTTCTACATTTCTCCTAACTATGCCCATTTGTACACTTCCCCCTTCTTAGCATTCAAATCCCTATGTCCTTCTTTCTTTCTGTCTAACCACATTGGCTCCCAAAGGGCCTATTGTTCTTCCACATTTCTAGCAGCTGAAAATCCCTGAGTATTACTGTTATTATATTATAAATAATAACAGTAATACACATCAGAATAATATATATTAAAAATAAGTGTCACAGGTTGCACCATTTGTTGCACTGACAGAGGACAGATTTCTAATGAGTGTCAGATTCATTCAAATGTCAGTAGGGTGTATGTGGATCTGTTGCAGAATTGTTGACTGCGACAAAATACTTACACATGTGACAAAACCTCTTACATGTTGGAGGAATTTGTATTTACCTCCACTTTTCTTATTGCCAGTATGGCAGAATTTCTTAATGGATTTGTCACAGCCATAGCACCAGCATGTTAAAGCTGGTTGACTTGTCATCCTCTTTGCATGTATGCGGTGCCATCCGCTTGTCACTGCAGCACCCATCACTGACATTATAAGGTCAGGAGTGCGATGAGATACCCACAAGAATGTAAAAGTGTCCCATATAAGAGCTACCAGCTCTTTCATGCCGCACAGCTTTCATGAATTTGCAACACTCAGGACTTTCTAATACAGCCATAACTCCAGGAAAGTGATGAAAATGCTTTAAAAGATGCCCCCCCCCCCCCCCCCCCCCTTCTCCCATCAACGGAGAATGGCAACCG